TGTAGCAAATCTTTAGTTTTCTTTGAATATCTGGTCACATGTGTTGGTAGTGGGCTAAGAGTTAACAAAGATAAGAACGACCGCAAATGGTCATGTTTGTGGAGACAGCATGCTCGGAACCATCATGAGTGGATTTCTGCAGTGCTAATCACTTAACATATGCCTTAGTTTGCTTTTGTGTCTTTTTAGTAGGTTTGAGTGATCATGGACAAATCCAATATTTGAGAGTTTTGAATGGGGATTGGGCTCTTGAAAGGGCCAATTCCTCTCCTTGAGTGATGATGTGCTCTCACAAAGGTAAACCTCTTCCCCTTGTCCAATTTATATTGGATGAGGATTCTATGAGTCAGAGGGCTTATGCTATAATATAAGCCTGTTAGACAGAAAATGTAACTCGTAGGTTTTTTTTGGGCTGAAAGTTTGCAGAACATCTTTGATTGAAAAATAAACATTTTAAAAAATAATCACTTTTGAGACCTCAATCTGCTGTCCGTCAATTGACGGCCTTTATTCACTGGAAAAGGCAGATTATTTGGATGAGATGAGCATGTATGTGGAATTTGGGGTCCAACAAACCCCTCTAGCTCCAACAGGCTAATGCTACAGTTTAAGCAGATGAACTTATATATATATTTTCTTTTTATATTGGTTTTTTAGATGCATTTGTTGGAGAGAGAATTGATTAATGCAAAACTTTCTGTGGAGCGGAGGAGGATGGAAGATGTAGTCTTTATTCAGGTTCTTGTTTGGGCATCAAGTGGTTAAGGGATGTCGATTGGGTCAATCAGCAAGTGGCATTGGAGAGTTGGGAGTTGACATGAGCCTTTGAGGAGTCCTCTGGGGTAAGCATGGATTTAGTATGAGAGTGTGGCTGGATCCAATGTTCTATAAGCTTTATTGTCATGGTGAATACTCTGTACAATGGATCAAGGTTTGAAAGGGGCGATTATTAGGTCTAGGGTTGGGGTGGAGGCTAGAGAATTTGACAGATTTTGGAGGGATATGTATCGGTAGGGTGTATTTTTGGGCTAGGTTATTGTGCCACATTGCTGTGTAGTGAAAATGGGTTTCAGGTTATCTGAAATATTGTATCACTACAATGATCGATATAATGTGTTGAGATGATGAAGCATCTTCTTACCAATAGGAAGCTTGTAATATAGTTTGGGGAGATCTTTTACGTTTCCTATGGATGCGTCATTTAACTCTCCATGTTCTATCAATTTGTGGACTGCCAGTTTTTGCATAGGATGTTGCATACAATGGAACGTTAACTAGTAGAAAGACGAGTGAGTTTTCAGTGACAATAGGTCTACATCCAAGGTCAGTATTGAGCCCATACTTCTTTGTCTTAGTTGTAGAAGACTTAACTAGACACCTATAAAATGGGGTATTGTGGTGTATATTGTTTGTAGAGGTATTGTGGTGTATATTGTTTGTAGATGACATAGTTTTGATCGATGAGACCTGCAACGATGTCAACACAAAGTTCGAATGATGGATCGGGATTCGTGTAGCCTATCACAAACAATTGGAAAAGGCTCTAAAGATGATGATCGCGTCATCAGTTTCATGGCTCTTTCTTTGCTCGGTAGTCACTTGTCATAATCATTTGGTTACATAATTTTGGAAATTATTCATTACTATTAGAAATATATCGACATCTTATTTGCTAACTTTCTGATGTATACATTTGCTAACATATTTACTTCTACAATGATTTATCCACTGATGGATGGATGTGGAGCTAGATAAAACCATGTACCTCTTAATTAAAAAAAGGCATCATTCTTTTTTCGATTTGTTATTTTTGAATTCAGGACTAATTTTCCATGAGGTTGTGGCTTCATGTGTTGAATTTCCCACACATCAGGAGGAAAATATTTGAAAACTGCAGTTTAAAAATAAACATATCTTGAGCCTTCTTTTTAAAATTTTTCTTTTTGTCTTTTTGCTTTTCTCTGCGAGTGTGGATACGGTAGAATCGCTAGAGTATAATCTTGAAAAGATACAATTCAAATTTGGGATTTTTTATGGCAATTTTTTTCTTCTAGTGTATTGACTCACGGTGAATTAGACAAGGGGTACCCTGTGCCTTGCAACCAACTCCCCTAAGAAAAAAAGATAAAAAGAAGAAAAGGAGTATATTTTACAAAAAAAAAGCATTTTAGACCATTTATCTTTGGTACAAGGTGGTCATAATTGACCTTGACTATTAGATGCAACATTAGATGGCTGCATTTATTCCAATGATTAAGCTCAAGCTTCAAAAGAAAAGTTTTCAAAACCTTGTGACGCATTGAAGCTATCAAATTTTACATTGAGTGGTTTTATGAATTGTAACTTCTTTATATCAAAAGTAAATGGTTTCTTCCTTGTATCAAAAGAAAAAAGTTTCATTGTATACAATCCCTTTTCCAAAACCCTTGTTTGATTGAGGGATTAGAAACCCTCATAAAAAATTTGGTAACCTATTTCAGTCCTTGAAAACTGGATTTGGAGCTCTTAAAATGGTGCAAATTTAATGGTCGCTCAGGCCAAGATGCAATCGAGATGGCTACCCAATTTTCAAGATACTATTCTTTGAGAAGAAGGGAATGGATTGCAAGAAACTTGGGTCCTCAATTATTTTTAGGAAGTTTATTCTAATACCTTTTAGCAATGAACTATTTAACATTTTATCCATATAGTTTGATTTAATTCAAAACACCCATTAAAGGGCACATGATCATGAGTTGGAATTGTTGCAATTGGGTAAAATGTTAAATAATTCATCTCTCGTGGGGATTTTGATAAATTTTTCATTATTTTAAGAATTTTAGGATGTGTTTAAGTTCTGAAAGATGTGTTTGCGATATGCAGATCCTGTTTGATAACGGGAATTTGGGATATCCACTTTCGAGGAAGATGCCAGTTTTGTGGAGGACACCGGAATTTGGGATATCCACTGCATCTTTCAAAAATCAAACACCCCATATCCGTCGTGGCCTCAATTTTGATGCAGATACCCTCGCGAACAGGTATTCGTAATCCCTTTTAATTTCTCATCCCTCTCTCGTTCCTTTTCTTTCTTTCTTCTTTTTCCTGCTTTGGCTGTCTTGTAATACCTTCATAATCTTAATGAAATACTCGTCATATTTGTTTTATAAAACAGATTTTTGTTTGGTGGAACACATTACATAGTTTTACATTGAAATTTGTCTCTAGAAATTTCCCGTGTACACCTATGTAATGGGAGGGGAAACTTATCTCACAATGAAAAAAAGATTAATCTGCATAAATTCTTTAACTAAAACATTTGGGCTTCTTTTGCTATTGTTAGGCACTGATATTTCACTTTATCAAAAATCAACGCCAAATTTTTTTTATCAAATCTAACTTTCATCAAAACTTTATTCTGAACCTCATATTTTCAAAGCCAAGAAAAATATTCATAATCCTAATTTTCGCTAGGCTATGATTATATGCACTCTTGAGTTCTCTAGAGTTTGGAGCATGACCCATCAAGTGAGTTAAAACTCCATTTTGAATGGAGAAATCGTTTCCTTTGGAGCATATATCACAATTACTGCTTCAGGGAAAATACATACTTATTTGGTATGAAAATGGAAAATCACTTGAGAATGTAGGTAAGGTAGGGTAGGGTTGGCAACATAGTCACCAAGTCGGAAGAATAGTCAATATATCAATTCATCATAAAATCAGAAATAAATTATTTTTATTTTAAAATGTTGGATGAAATAATCGAGTAAAAAAAAAAAATCGGAAAAAACACTTTATATAAAAATACCGCAAATATAGCATACTAGACTCAAAAAATCAGAGTGAAATTAACGGATAACTTTCAAAAAAAGCACCATATTTATGCTAACACTACAGTCATTAAACTAGCTATTCCAACTATGCACCATACTAACTATGCACCATTACTAACTATAGACCATACTAACCACACTAACTATACACGATACTAATTATACAAACACGCACCGTACCATCCTATGCAATATTTAGACTTTTAGAGAGAGAGGCGATTAATTATACAAACACGCACCGTACCATCCTATGCACCATATTTAGACTTTTAGAGAGAGAGGTGATCATTTATTTTGGAGCCAGAAGATAGAGAGAGGGAGTTGGCATAGGACAAATAAATGCAGAGGAAGGGAGAGAGGTTGACGCAAAGAAAGAAATAGAGAGAGAGAGGGGGCGGCGGTGACCACGGATCTCTCAAAAGAACACATAATAGGATACAGAGATAGAGGGAACGGCGGTGACCACGGATCTCTCAAAGGAACTCTGAAGAGGATGTAGGGTTTTTCAAAATGGTGTTGTCTTTTCGAAGCAGCTGGTGAACTTCTTGTGAAGAAAATCAGATGGGTGCGCCTAAATCAGATCGTGCTTTATTTTTTAAGTTGATGGGTTGAATTAGGTTTTGGAAAAGTGTTTTTCTTAATTTATTTGCCCCTAATAGATTCTTTGAGCTATGTTAATTTGGGGATTTTTTAGTTACGTTAAATTTGGGGATTTTTTATCTACTTTTAAATATGTGATTTGAAAAAATTTCCCTATCAGATGGTCCTCTGTTTTTCCTAATTTATTTTCCCCTAATTTTTTTGAAATGTTGTTAAATTTAGGGATTTTTGAAAGCTAATGTTAAATCTGTATTTCAATATAAAATTATAAACAATGAGTCTCTTTCTCTAAAGCATGCATTATAAACAGTGGTTCTCTTTTTCTCTCTCTATATACCCGTCAAGTATTTGTGATGTAGTTCAATTTGGGGAGTTTTTAAACTTCTCTATCTCCACTGTTTCTTAATTTCTTTGAGATGGTTCTCTTTCTCCCGTTGTGTACCTGTTGATGAGATGGTTCTCTATCACATGATTCTCTCTCTATGTATCCATAGAGTATTATTAATAGAAAATTTTATTTGAAATGACTTATTATAAAAATTAAAAAATCGCTTATTAAACTTATTCATGAAAAAAATGTGATTTTTTACACTATTTTGAAAAATACGCAGTTTAAAACATTTTTTTTAAAAAATTTCAATTTTTTTTTAAAAAAACGTGTTTAAAACGCAGATCGGCTAACTATTGTTTGCAACTGATCGGGTCAGGTCGGGTCCATGTTGATTCTGACCCTCCTAGGTTCCACCCGGACCTACAGGTTGATTTGGACCTAGATTGGGCTCTAGAAATTAAAACTAAAATTTTTTTTTTGTTAATATATATTTTATATGAGTAATGATCCTAGGATCTTCCTCCACCCACATGTGTAAGACCTTAAATGATCACCATTAAAGTTGGTATGGATTTATAGAAAAGTCAAATTCTACATCCATGTGATAATTTTAATAGAACTTCGTACCAATTTTTATGATGATCCTTTGAGGTCCTTCACATGGATAGAGGAGGGTCTATAGGATCATTACTCATTTTATATATACTTAATAAAAGGTCGGATGGGGGTGGATCTGAGTCATTTGGCCCACATCCCAACCCTCATGGGTCCAAAACATGGACGTGGACCCAAACCACCCGGCCTATTTGCCACTCCTAAATGTAGGGGCTTGAAAAATTTTATTCGGTATAAAAAGATGTTTTAAATATTATGTTATAATTTATTTTTTCACTACTTTTAAATTTCATTTGGATGTGTTTTGCTTAAAAGTAATGATCCTATTAGACCCTCTCATACTCATGTGTAGAAGATCCGAAAAGATTGTCATTAATGTGGGAGAGATTATTAGAATAATGATTGTATGAGATCCTCTCATACTCGTGTGTATAGGACTTTAAGAATCACTATTAAATTTGACACAGATATTTAAAAAAGTTATCTCTATTAAATTTGATACAGATATCTAAAAAAATTATCACATGGATGGGAGATTTGATTTTTCTAAATACCAATATTAAATTTAATAGTGATAGTTTAGAGTCCTACACACGAGTATCTCATATGATGATTACTCTCTAAGCTTACACGCATGGCGGATCTCATATGATCATTAGTCTTTAAGCTGATAATATTGATCCTAAAGACCCTCTCACATACATATTTTTTATTTTTTAATTTTTAATGATTTTGAGACCAGCCAGCTTAGTTAGGCCCTCTTAATCGGCCGGTTTACTGGTTGCTCGGACCTAGTCGTTCACGCGTTTCTGAGGCGGCCTTGATTTTTCGAAGACCGGATCTACGGACGGCGGTGATAGCTAATGTGTTCTCCCATCGCCGATGCGGTGAGTGTGTCTTCTCTCGTCGCCGTCCATCGGCTGATCGTATGGTGCAGATATCATACTTTCTGATTCCCAAAAAAACACGTGAAAACCCTAACGACTTTCCATCTGTATATATATCTATACCAGATACCCAACTCTCCAAAACCCTAGAACTTCATATTGTCGCGGTGTCCTTTGCTCCTGTTATCCATGGCTTCTTCCTGAGATTCCAACTCTATTTCTCTGTTATCAATAAACTCTAGTTCTTCCTTAATATCCAAAAACCTAAGTTTCAAACAGTCAAAAAGCTCTAGCTATCTCTATGATTCTGAATATCTGTTGCCCTAATTCCTGGTCTGTTTTTTCTGAAGTACTTTACAGTGTGTATATGTTCAGCTTGTAGTTTGTTTTTTATTGCTTTGATTGATGATCTAGCACGGATTTCTGTATATTTATTTGAGTTGAAAATGAGTGGGAAATTTTTTTAAAAAGCAAGGCAGCTTCTTGTTTGAAAGAAATCTCTGCTTTCAGGCAACAATTCAATTGAAACTTGCGATATCAATATTCAGCTTCACTCGCCTGCTTTTGATTTTGCAATGATATTGCAGGCCCTTTTACTGCTGGTACAATTACCATTTGTTTTTAAAATTCATTATCTTTTTAAATTTTTTTTTTGGTTTTTCTTTTGAAAGTATGGCTTAAATTGATCATAAATGTTACATTTGTCAGAGAGAGTCTTGGCCAGATGTTTCTGTCCATTTAAGTTGTGTTTGGAAATGTACTAATAGCTTGTATTCTGGTTTTTCAATATGAAGCAAACGCACTCTGTCCCAAGACTAACTATCAGTGTTTTGAGGCAATTTCTTCGTTTGCGAAATTGAATGCTCCAATCAAACTCGTCACTAATGATTCTGAATTGAATTTGTAGACGCATGGTTGGACTACATTTTGTTTCTTGGATTTCTTGATTTCATTTTCCATAGGTTTTATGGATTCTATTAGGTTTTCGAAGGATTAGGATAATGCTAGCAATTTGCAAGCACTTGACTATTGGTTCAGGAATTTAGGTGGAGTGGTTTGCAGCTCTGATGGATCCTGAAAACAATGAAAATATAAAATCAAATAAAAACTTGAAAGATCTAAGATTTCTCTCTATTTTTGGATCTATAAAGTTTTTGGGGGTTTTGGTCTCATGGATTGTATGGAATATGGCATATATGAAATGGGTTTTAGATTTTTCTCACGTATTGAGCTCAATCACTGGATTCGTGAATTGGTTTTTATTCTACGGATTTTTTTTCATGGAATGAATTGGGCTCTATCACTGGATTAGTGAATTGGTTTTTATTTTACGGATTTTTATCATGGAATGAATTGGGTTTTGCTGGTTTGTTGTGAGCATAATTAGCAAATTGGTATTTTAAACGCGATTTTTTTAAAAAATTGGAGTTTTTTAAAAAAATGTTTTAAACTGCGTATTTTTCAAAAGAGTTTTAAAAAATTGCATCTTTTTCATGAAGAAGTTTAACTACGCGATTTTTTAATTTTTATAAGAAATCGTTTCAAGAAAACGGTTATATTAATAATCCTCCATGGTACACATAGAGATAACTGTGAACGAGAACATTTTATCGACGGGTATAGATAGAAATATAATTATCTTAAAAAAATTAGGAAAAACAAAGATAAATAAGTTTCAAAAATTTTCAAATTGAACTACATCACAAATGGTTGATGGGTATGGAGATCGATAGATATAGAGAAAGAGGAAAAAGAGAATTTATAATGCAAGCTTTAGAGAAAGAGAATCGGTGTTTATATTGAAATATAGATAAGTCTTTCAATTTAACGACATTTCAAAGAAATTATAGAGGAACAATCTGATAGAGTTTTTTTAAATCACATCAAAAAATTCTCAATTTTAACATAACTCAATAATCCTCAAATTAACATAGCTCAAAGAACATATTAAGAAAAATAAACTAAAATAAAACGTACAAAAATCCCCAAATTAACATAGCTCAAAGAACATATTAGGAGAAATAAACTAAGGAAATACGTACAAAGGGCTTTTTCTTAATCTTGATTCAACCCATCAGATTAAAAAATACAATACGATTCCCATCTGATTTTCTTCACACATCATATTAAAAAATACAACACGATTCCCTTCTGATTTTCTTCACAAGAAAGTTCACAATCAGTTTAAAAAAGATAGCACCTTTCTGATTCAGAAGAAGTTCATCCTATTTGCTCTTTTGTGTTCTTTTGAGAGATCCATTGTCACTTCACACCCCTGTTCTCTCTCTCTATTTCGTTATTTGCATCCACCTCTCTCTCTCCCTTTGCACCTCATGCTCTGTCAAAAGAAATGGTCACCCCCTCTCGTCTTCTCTATCTAAAAGTATAAATATAGTGCAAAAGGATGGTACGGTGCATATTGATATAATTAGTATGGTGTATAGTTAGTAAGGTTAGTATGGTGTATAGTTAGTAAAGGTGTATAGTTAGTATGATGCATAGTTAAAATAGATGACTATAATGTTAGCATAGTTAGCATAAATATGGTGCCCTTTTTTTAAACTTATATGTATTTTTCACTCCAATTTTTTGAACTTAGTCTGCTATATTTGCGACATAAAGTCTTTTTGCCGATCTGTATTTTTAACCCGATTTTTTCATCCAACTTTTTAAAATAAAAATGATTTATTTCCGATTTTATGGTGAACCGATATATTGATATTCCCCATCTTGCTAACTATGGTTGTGAGTTGCATAAGGGTTTTTGCATGTTTTTGTATGCTATAAATTGGGTTATGTTGGTTTCTATTGGGTTTTGGTTTCGTGTTTTGTTGTATGCTATAAATGTTTATAGAATTCAGGAAGTAGTAAGTATTATGTTACGGGATGGGATGGAGTCTGGGATTTAGGATTGCAATTTCTATGAACCTCAATCATAAATTTGGAGTATAAATGAAGACTGATCACATCTTTTGATTAAATCTCTTTACACAATGAAGAATACTGGTTATACATCTTCAAATAAATTTTTTTTTATTTGATTGCATTTCAATACCTTGAAGACCTATTTCTCTAGGTTTATATTAGAAAAGGGTGGGAGTTCCATTGACTAGATTCATACTAGCAAGGTGTTACACCAAACAGGACATCAATCCTCTCATGACCTTCTGTTTGAATTACTGTATCTGTTATCTATTAATCATTCTCAGCAAGTAAAGAGTGACTTCTTAACTTTCCATAACCAATAACTTCAAATTCTGCTGCCATCATGCTCCTATTCCATGTACAGAAAATACAAAATCTTCAATGATGACCTGAAATTTGTTCATGGCATCATGTTGAACCAAGTGAAATAGCCACACATTGTTCAATCGGTGGGTTCAGAAAGGACCACATCAGGCCTAATCCAACTCTAGGGTCCAACCAGATTGGAACGGGGTTCAATTCAACTAAAATCAGTAAATTTATCTGGTTATAAAAACAATCCAAATTAGTGAAGCAAAGCTGCTGGGTATTACAATTCACAACCTCATGTAATTCCTATTAGGTGTCCATTTTCATTTTTGGCTTTCAGATATTATAATTTCTATGCAACGGAACATGACTAGAGTTCAAGAAACATGAATAATGAGGCTGCTAGCATCATTAGAAGGTAAAACGAATTAATTACGTTCAAAGGAACGAATAAGAATCCCAGCCATAGTAGTCTTTGAGGCTATAAATAGATGCCAATGTCATGGATTATTACTTCAATAGCATGTACAAGTTATAATGATCATAACATACTTAGATTAGCATTTAGACAAGGGACAATGGCATAAACGTTATGGAAGCGCATGCCCATCATGCTCATCACTTAATTGACATAACATGTATCTGTGCTACAACGTAAGAAAAAGGAGAGGCAAATGAATCCCATATTACTTAATTGCATACCAAGGATGATTATTATTTTATATCCACTTTGGTCTCTAATTCTGAGGCGTTGAGGATGGCTAGTTACTTTGATATGACACAGAGCACAAAAAAATCTTACAGTATCAATTGTGCCATCAACACCAATAGCTAGCAATAGCATAGGGGAAGAAGAAGGGTCGTCACAACCCCACTCACTCGTTTGGCACTCACTTTCTCTTAGTGTTTCCCACCTTCTAAATTTATCTCTTATCTATACTTAATTTTATCTATGTCTTTGTGGCCTTCAGATCTCTTGCATACTATTTCCTCTGTTCTTGTCCGTCTTGTCGTTTTTTCGGTTTTCTTATCTCTCCTTATGCCCCATTCTACTACTACTCTATTTCTGCAGTTTTTGTTTTTCTATGGTGTGGAGGCCCCTCTTTCTCTCAATTGATTTGTATTATAATTTTCTCAGTCTTAGATTAGACAGGATGCTAACATTCATGTTGTTGTTTTTCTGTTGATTTGAGTAAGGTACAACTGCTGCTTTACATCGATGTAGTCAAGCAATTTCTTTCATGGAGCATTTGTTTGGACGGAAAATAGTTCTCTGTTGGTTTTTATGATTGTTTCTTTGTTCTTCTTCTTCTTTTTTGTATTTTTCCTTTCTATTTATTGTGTTTTTAATATAGTTCGGTTTTGCTTTTGGTTTTGTAATTTCTTTTTTTTTTGTTCTCTTTTAGTTTTAGGATTTGAAGGCAGAAGAACTCCGGATTGTTATGGATTTTTATTATTTTCTTTTTAATGGCTTGTAGATCAGATATCTTACAAGTTTTATTGGCCTTCAGGATTTCCATGGATTTTGCACTTGTGGTTTCTCATGAGCTTTGAGTAATGTAGGTTAGAGCTGTTGCTTTTCTTCTGTTTTCTTTCGGAAATTTACCAGTAAAATTTCATTAAATTGTATAATGTACAAGTATTGTAACTGTAGATAAAAAAATGTGTCCTTGGGGCTGTCCAGACTTACGATTGACTTACACTGGTTCGGCATCACCTGAAGGTGCCGATGGGCCAATGCCACACCATTCCAACTGGGTGTGCAATGATATACAGTACAAATTCCTCGCCATGGCCAGACTGATCGCTGCTCCTCTGCCAAGGTAGATGATCACATATATTTCGTCTTGAATATTCCACACATGCAAGAGGATCCCAAGAATAGAGAGATGCCATAGGAAACTGCCAATACATGAAGGGGAAGGGAAGATCAGAACTTGAATAGAGACTCAACTGAGTTCGGGCTCAGACAATAAAAATCCAATAGACTTGAAAATAGGACCTTGCCCTTTTGTAGGGCCTACATTTGTATCATATTTTATTCAAATAAAATTTTGTTATTTTTTTAAAAAAATTTCTGAAGATATTCTCTGTACACATGTAGTTTAATACTTCTTGAGTTTTAAGTTGTGTGTCCAACAAGCGAGTTCATTATTGGAATCTGTGAGTGATTACTGTAATTCTTTATATGATTTGAAGTTTCAAAAAAACAAATCTCTATACATTTCGAATGAAACTCTGTTTGGCTTGGTTCTATACCATTTCATTTCTGGATATCATGATTGCTGCCTACTGTTGGCTCAAAGAGTCGACCATAAATAAATATTTGTTGGTTTGATTAATTGTAGTTTAACTCAAGATACCGACTGTGTGGATCTATGGGAAAAGGCAATTGTTTGTTTTGTGTTTCATGTATCTGGAAATATTACGGGGAACGAGGATGATGAGAATTTTCAAGGTTGCAGATTACATTTTACCAGTCTGTTTAGATGATTTCCACCTTTTTTGTTTCTATAATTTACTCTTACCGTGCATGCGACTTGAAAATTTATGTCTCACAGGTGGTTTGAAGGAGAATGTTATTGATGCCTGCAGCCTCGAACTCTGTAAACACTAGATTTGCAGTGCTGAACAAGGCAAAAGACTGTTATCTTTCAGCTATGGGGAAGTGAATGTGATGCAATCCACATTATTCGCCTGCCTTCACAATGGAATCTTTTCTTAGCAAACTTGTGCTAAGAGGAAAGATTAGTTCACGATGCTATTTGTTCAAACTCCCAACATGCCATCCCCACCTGCTGTTAACTCAATAAGAGACCCGTGAACACTGATAATCTTGTATCAAAATGCCAATAGGAAAGAGAAACTTAATAGACCTCTAACCCCAACCCTTCTCTCTCTCTCTCTCATTCTTTTCATGGATCAAATTGTTGTATTGTTTTTCATTTCAGCCTCTCAACTGCGCTTCATGCTCATTTTTCTTTCTTTTTATTTTTTTTCTTTTAGATCTCGAAGCACAACGGGGACCAATATATATATAAAAGCATCTACAAAACGTCTATAGGTGAGGTTCTATAATATCACCGTACAAAGTTCATCACACAGTCAAAGTTGTCTGGTAGTATGTGAATTTTTATAATGATTGTACTAATCATATTTATCTAAAATTTGGGGCTTGTGTATATATGATCAAGTTGCACCAAAATAAAATATTAAAAAATAATAGGCATAAAACAAATTATGAAATTACCATTGAAACTTTATAGGGGTATTTTTCATAATTTTTATAACGGGGATAAAACCATAGGTGAAGTACTGTAGAACTTTACCCTATAGGTTCTTTTGTAGTGTTTTCTTATATAAATATATATATGAGTCCATGTAGAAATGAATCACCTCTTAAAAATCTATTTTTGAGATGGATTTTTGGATTTAATTTTTAAGGATATGTAATCTTTAATATGGAAATCATGAATATGAAAAAAAATTTGAAAATTAGAAATACTAATTATATTAAAAACAAATTCGAACCGTTAGTCTCAATTGTTTTTAGATGGACCACCTATTTGCATCCATATTTAAGATGGATGATGTATACCTCGGGAGCTACAAATGTAGAAATGCGGTCTCCGTCGTATAAAACAATTATATATATATATATTATTTATTTGGGAACAATATCTCTCGCGGTAGATGAGTTTATAGCAGTGTTCGCAAAACCGGTTGATCTAACCAATAACCGCTTGGTTAGATCAGAACTGGCCAGTTGCTGGTTCCCGTTTTGAGCGGTTTTTGTTAGTAAAATTTTCCTAAGTGGAAGGTTTTCTTTAAAACTAGGTTCCATATTATGAACTCTCGGGGTATCATCATCTTTCGGTATGCTCGCTCAATTCTATGATAGGATATAATTTTATCTGTTGCTTATAATCGTCTCTCATCCAAGTTTTAAGGTTCATGAGTTTATAGGCATTGCTTGGATGAATTTGGGTTACGACATATGGTCTTTCCCAATTAGATTTGAATTTTCTTAAGTGGAAGATTTTCTTTAAAACTAAGTTTACTAGTATGAATTCTTGGGGTATCATTTTCTTTCGGTATGCTCGCTCAATCCTATGACAGGATATAATTTTATCAGTTGCTCATAGTCATCTCTCATCCAAGGGAGTAGCAATTCAGGCTTCAACATGTTTGATTCTTAGTGAACAATCATTGCCTCATTGCTATAGACCAGAGAATAGGTAGTCAAACCTGAAGTAGTACTAGGACTCCACTCCAAGGTGTACAAAATTAAACAATTTCACCCATAAATTTGTTTTAAAAAAGTGTATAAAAATATACAAGCAAGATATTCCCCTAAAAATAAAATATCATAAAAATCATATATATTAAAATGATAAGCAGAGTTAGAAGAGTAATACAATGAAAAATAATTTTGTTCTTTAAACCCAGAATGTCCTTATAAAAAGCAAGAGAAAGATTTAAATGAATGTATAATATTATAGTTACGTTATGATAATTTTAGACGAGTAAAGATAATTAATAAATGTTTGGTGTGATACTAATTTCATTTTATATCAATTTTTTTTTTCAATCCTATAATATGAAAGTGTTTTATAATATTTTCAAATTATTTTGATGCAATATTATAACACTATAATATAATCAATAATTTTGTAGGCATCCAAACAAAAAATGGCGTCTCATTATTCACATAATTTTACAAAGTAATGAAAATACATAATGCACCACTCATATTTTCTTTTAGAAACTAAAAGAACACAATTTTTAGAGATTTACTGTGATTTTTTTAAAAATGTTTGAGACAAAATTTATTGATTCGGTCAATTCTCCTATCCGATCCACCGATTCGACATGGGTATAGGTTGAATCAATGTTATCAAATTTGCTTCGCTTCGGCCGAAGGGACTGAAGCCTTAAGATTTTATGCATAAATCGAAGCAAAAAGAAGCGTGGTGCTGTTGCTTCAGTTAGATTCGGGCTGCTTCGGTCGGAAAAGAAATACTTATATAGAAGTATCTTTTTAAAAAAATTATTTCAAAAAATTATTTTATTTTTTTTATATAGTTTATATAAATATCTAATTTATTTACATTAAATTTAAAAAAATTACAAAAAACCCCACGACTGCACTTTCTGTGCAACTTACCCTCAACTTAACTTTTTCTCTCACTTTTTTCCCAAAATATATTTTCTATACAAATACCCCTAACTAAATATAATAAATATAATAATAATAATAATAATAATAATAATAATAATAATAATAATAATAATAATAATAATAATAATAATAATAATAATAATAATGATAATAATA